AAAAAAAAAGTTGAAAAAGGATACATAGATTTACCAAATGTGCAGGTGTAGTGCAACAACTCTTCTGGATATGGAAGCTTCGGCGGCCACACCTCACGCAAAGAATATGGGTCTTGTTCCTCCTCCTCTTGAAGGTCCATGTTCTCTACACCATTGCTATGCAGTTGCAGAGAATATTCCCTTTCGTTCTTTGTAACTTGGTACTGTTTGTATTGAATAGAATGTGATGTATATATAGGTGTTTAGATATGATTAAGGGTAACAGTTATGGTTTTTATTATATTACCAATACCAATTACCAATTACAAATTAAAATTAGGGTTACCATTTTACATTTGCTTACCAAAAAATTATATATAGATACTTAATTTATATTTGAAGAATATATTTACCTAATTTACTTTATATACAGTATTAAGTATGTCTACACGTAAATGAATAATATATAATATATAATTTCTATATTTTGATAATTAATTAAATTAGAAAATTAGGATATTATATAAATGCCCCTAAGTTTGGGGGGGGGGGGAATTTATATGGTTTTTATTATTATTATTATATTATTATTATTATTATTGTTGTTGTTGTTGTTGTTATTATTATTATTATTATTATTATTGTTATTCTATTGTTATTGTTATTATTTTTATTTTATTTTATTATGATTACATTATTTCATAATATTTTTATTATACTTGAACAATAATATTTTCAATAATATTATAGAATATAATACCATACATAATATTACCAATTATGTAATATAACAATTAATATATTTTATTTAATTTCCATTTGAAATTTACTTACCAAATAAGCTTTACTACAAAAGTTTTGGGGGGAAAATTTGTTAGGAGGATTTTACTTTTATATATATATAGAATATAGATATAGATTGTTGTTGTTTTCACCACCTTCCTTGATAGGACTCAGACTTTTGATCTTCAGTTTGGAATGGTAACAATGATGCCATCAGACCAAAGGTACTTGACTTTTCACCATTGTTATTTATTACTTCGTATTTTAACTAAGGAAAATGATCAAATAAACCCTAAACATTATACGAAAGAGCAATTATGTCCACATACTTCAAAAGGTTCAATTAACTTACTAAAATCAGACAAATAAGTCATATTTACATGTAAGCAACAACACATGCAAGCCGCCATTAATCAAATTCATTTACAAAAAAAGGCCATCGCCTGTCATCTTATTCACGAATGACGCTAAAGGCGATTGGTTACCGGTCACTAATATAATAATCAAAACTCTAACTGAAACTTAATTATAGGTGACTAACTGGTTATTAGACCTGAATATATTAAAAAAATTCAATTTTCTCCCATTATATAATAATAATAATAATAATAATAATTATTATTATTATTATTATTATTATAATAAAGAAATTCGTCAACATAAAAATAAATTAGAATCTTTATCTTCAAAAAAAAAAAAAAAATAGAATCACAACCACTAAACTAATACCAAAAAAAAAAAAAGGAAAATTTTAATCGTCAAAATGATTACTGCTAGAGTAACAGGCAGCCGTTAGATTTATAAACGTTAGATCTTCTCTGGCAGCACGCCTTTCACCACCAACACAGCTGGACTTCACTAAAATTCAAAATTCAAAATTCAAATCTAAACTCCGAACATTAGTTACTGTACTAGTAGTGGTGTAACCCTAGTCACTCTATCACCCCCCGTATATAATCCTCACACCACTCTTTCACTCTGCAAGCGCTCCTCATTTTCCCTCTTCCTTTTCGCCATTTCTCGCTCTCTTCTTCTTCTTCTCCTCCTCAACTCACAGCCGAATCTCTCCTCCTCCCCCACAACCGAAGATGCGTGAGATCCTTCACATTCAGGGTGGCCAGTGCGGCAACCAGATCGGAGCTAAGTTCTGGGAAGTGGTGTGCGCCGAGCACGGCATCGACGACACCGGGCGCTACCATGGCGACTCAGATCTGCAGCTGGAGCGGGTGAATGTGTACTACAATGAGGCTAGCTGTGGGCGGTTCGTCCCACGCGCTGTGCTCATGGATCTCGAGCCTGGGACCATGGACAGCATCAGATCTGGGCCGTACGGACAGATTTTCCGCCCCGATAACTTCGTGTTCGGCCAGTCCGGCGCCGGTAACAACTGGGCTAAGGGACACTACACCGAAGGAGCTGAGTTGATTGATTCCGTCCTCGATGTTGTTCGCAAAGAAGCGGAGAACTGTGATTGCCTGCAAGGTATTTGTTGAAATGCTTTTAGTTTTTTTTTTTTTTTTTCGCTTCAATACGAGTTCTCTGCTTAACTGATGTGTAGATCTACTGTCTGTTCGTTGTTCTTATATATGTTCTGTTATGGTTGCAGGGTTCCAAGTTTGTCATTCCTTGGGAGGAGGTACTGGATCTGGAATGGGAACCCTTTTGATCTCAAAGATCAGGGAAGAGTACCCAGATAGGATGATGTTGACTTTCTCTGTCTTCCCATCCCCAAAAGTTTCAGACACGGTCGTGGAACCTTACAATGCCACATTGTCGGTCCACCAGCTCGTGGAGAATGCAGATGAGTGCATGGTTCTCGACAACGAGGCCTTGTATGACATCTGCTTCAGAACCCTCAAGCTTACTACTCCAAGCTGTAAGTTCCCAATACTGCTCTGTTGGATTTTAGTTATGGCATTCCTTGATTTATAGTATACCTTCTATTTGTTTGACATTGTATTCTACTTATATGCCTTAGTTTACTTGTTATTGGCTTGTTTGTCATGTGATGTATATGGTACTATACAAACACCTGTGATGATCTTATGAATTTAAACAGATCTACAACTAATCTCGTTGAAATATTGTTCAATAAATGATTTGTGTTTCTGCTAGTTGTGCTAATATATCATGTAAGACTTAATAGTTGTATAATTTTTGAAAGGGAAATTGTTCAGTAACTTATTATGGTTTGTGTGTATGTATCAGTTGGTGATTTGAATCACTTGATCTCTGCAACAATGTCTGGTGTTACTTGCTGTCTTCGGTTCCCTGGACAGCTGAACTCTGATCTCAGGAAGCTAGCTGTGAATCTCATTCCATTCCCTCGTCTTCATTTCTTCATGGTTGGGTTTGCGCCTCTGACCTCCCGAGGGTCTCAGCAATACCGTGCCTTGACTGTGCCTGAGCTAACTCAGCAAATGTGGGATGCAAAGAACATGATGTGTGCAGCTGATCCCCGACACGGGCGTTACTTAACAGCATCGGCTATGTTCCGTGGCAAGATGAGCACGAAGGAGGTGGATGAGCAGATGCTGAATGTGCAGAACAAGAACTCGTCCTACTTCGTTGAGTGGATTCCAAACAATGTCAAGTCCACGGTTTGTGACATCCCGCCCACTGGCCTGAAGATGGCGGCGACATTCATTGGAAACTCGACATCAATCCAGGAGATGTTCCGTCGTGTGAGTGAACAGTTCACTGCTATGTTCAGGAGAAAGGCTTTCTTGCATTGGTACACCGGGGAGGGAATGGACGAGATGGAGTTCACCGAGGCTGAAAGCAACATGAATGATCTGGTCTCTGAGTACCAGCAATACCAGGATGCAACTGCTGATGAAGAGGGAGAGTATGAGGATGAGGAGTGTGATTATGCTGAGTGATACTTTTGGGTGTTGTTAACTGGGAAGGTGTATTGTTGTTTGTTGCAATATTTCTTGTTATTGCCGGTTATATCCCATGCCCGGATTATGAATATGTGGTGAAGTTGAAAACAATTACTTGTATTTTGTTTTAGTTAATGAATCTCTGTTCCTTTATCTAGTACTTATAATGTTTGAACATGTTTCTTTTCCTGTTTTTTAGATCATTTCTATTACTTGGATTATTTCCTTGTTAAAAATTTAAAATGTTTTTCAGATCATTTCCTTGTTAACAATTTAAAATGTTTTTCAGAGATCATTTCAATTAAAAAAAAGGACGCATTGTCTTCAAAATGTATTTGTTTTTAAATTGTCAATTTTTAACTAGATTGATTATGTTTCATTAAATGACTATAGAGTAAAAATCTCAAAATCTATGGTGGGCAGGTGCTGTGATATACAATTAGGCCGCCCACACTATACGGCTAGTTAAAACATTTAATGTGTTTTAGTTTGTTTAGGCTGCCCACACTATGCTACACATTTAAAACATTTATTATTACCTTGTTTACACCATACATACTCTAAAAAAGAAAAATTACAAGTGAAAAATCTTAAAATTTTAGATTATGATTAATTGTGAGGGTGAGGACTTAACGAGCGCGATGGTAAAGTAGTGAGATTTGTGACACTATAATGGACAATGACATATTTAACAGTCTTTTTTAACGAGTGATGAGCTATTGTCTATGCCAATTGCAACTTGTGAGTTGACCAACAATTGTGAAGAGTGATTGGGTAATAACGTCTCTATGTTTACATTTGATTTTATGATTATAGGATTGTGTACCCTTTTGCTCATCAAATTTTAGAATTATTCCATTCAAAATTATATTATTTTGAACAAAATAACCTTAAATAAATAAAAATTGATTGAATAGACCGATTAGTTGGCTTGCCAACTAGCCTAGACCATCTTTACCTAAGGACACTTAATATCAAAAAAAGATCAAGTTTTATTACCTTCTTTACACCATACTTGTGTGCCATTATTCAAAACTTATTCTTCTTAATTTACATCTTAATCTCATCATACTCTACCCAATCACACCATACTACAACTCAACATTATGAAACATTTGTGTAAACAAAAAAATTGATTTGAACTTCAAAAAGAAAATAAATTACTTTGCGTTGATAGAGAGTATTAAAATTTTAGAAGTTTGGAAGGGTCAAAAGTATTATTATCCTAGACATTGGTGGTGAAAGTTAAATTATCCCAAACAGGAAAGCAGTTTCAGCTTTGAGAATGGGGGGTGGGGTCCCCCCTCTGCAACCCTCTGTGATTTTACACCATAGAAAATGGAGACTGTAGCCTTACTAGTCTCTTTCTCTTTTCATCTCTCTGCTCTAAACTGACACCCACCAACACCCCCTACCCCACCCCCACCCCCCACCCTCACCTAAGATACGTACATTATGTTACATCTTTACATATAAAAAGAAGAAAAGGAAAACCACCTAATTCCCAGCACCGCACTCTTCAGTTTCTTTGTTGTTTTACTTTTTTTTTTCTTTAGTAGTTTCGTTTGTTTGAGGGCACTTTGATCGGTTCTGTTCTTCCCCTCTCGTCGTCAATGGGATTTTTCTGAGCTTTTGTGGGTGTGTTTCTTTCTTTTCAGAGGTGAACGGCGACGTTTGGTGTGGAATGCCGACTGTGGAGGCTGCCGACGTTGACATGGAAGGAAATGGGGGTGGTGGTGGGGCTGGGAATCCCCACTACCGTCGACGCCGCCGTCGGCGGCGTCGACGCAGGCCGTCCTTGGCGGCGAGTAGTGAGACGACCACCGACGGGAGCTTCCGCTTCTCCGATTCGGACTCGGATCAGTCTTGGGTATCGGCTGCTGGTGGGCCCTACGAGGAATGCCGGTGCTCGGAGCGGCTCAGGCACAGCCGTAGGAAGTCTTGCTCGGTGTCGGGGGGCCTGTCGGACGACGAGATTGATTTGGAGAGCGGCGAATTGGAGCTCAAAGTGCACAAGGAGGAGAGGGATTGCAGAATTTGCCATTTGAGCTTGTCGGGAAGTGGCGGCATTGGCGGCGGCGTTGACGGCGACGGCGACGGCGAACTCGAGCCCTCCGGCGGCGCTATCGAATTGGGATGTTCTTGTAGAGGCGATTTGGGGACTGCCCACAAACAGTGCGCAGAAACTTGGTTCAAAATCAAAGGAAACACGTAAGTCTTCATAAAAATGTCATCTTTTATTGCTTCTTAGAATCTTTAGCTTTGTTACATTTAACTGTCATAAAATCAAACTATTGATCTTCACAGCTAGAAAGGGTTAATGTTTCTAAAATCTTGGTCCTTGTAGATTCCGAGGTTTCTTAGGTTATCCCATGAAACATGAATCTTGTTCTGGAACTGTTAAGGGAAATCTGGAAAACTGTTTTCCCCATTGATCACTATTTTCCAGATATGGTTTTGTAGTTTGCTGGACAACAGTTTGTTTTCTGGTTGATAGTGGAATAGGGCTTAGTACCATTTTGTGACTATTTAGTATTTACTAGGTACAACATCTTGTGTCTACTGAGAATGTCTACTTTTATCTGTTATCCTTCATATGTACAGTATGGTTTGTAGTTTCTAAAATCAGAAATCGGTGGTTTCCTCTTGACCATAAGAGGGAATGGATCTAAAGTTAGGTGCCACTCATAAGATGATTGATTGTGTGTAGTGATACTAGAAGTAGATAATCGTTCAGAGTCGTGGGGCCGGTTTTCGTTTCACTTTGAACATTCATTAAATGGGATTGATCTCAGATTCTCAGCAATGGTTTTGTCACTTTCTAATAATTTGGTTCCTGTTGTAGTAGAAAACAAACACACGGGTCTATGCAGTTCCCACTCCATACCCCTGAGCATTTCTTTGAGCTAATGTGGTTTGTGTACCACTTATTTTTTGGTGCTCTGCTCCATTTCCCAGTGATTATTGTCCTCATTTGTTTGCCTTTTCTTGTCATTTGGTATCAAATCGAGTTCAACCTTATTTTTGCTGCACATAATTCTTGTAAATTTTCGTCTTTGAATTTCTTGCGGTTTGTTACATGGACTTTCTGCTTCATCCCTAGGTAACTGTAGCTATAATTTGAAGCTTTGGACAGAGATCTTTTATGCGAGAAAAAGTGTAATACAGAGTGAAAGAAGAAAGAAAAATGCATAACAGGCTGTGAAATAAAGTAGTCAAATGATGTCTTATGAGTATTTGGCTTGGCAATAGGAAAATGATGGTTAATTTGGTACTTCAACCATGATAAGTCTTGCACCCACTAGGTCGGTCTAATCTTGATGGATATGGATGACCTTGTAAAGAGTAGGTCTTGTGTGAGATTGTCTCGTGTAATATGTGTAATACTTTTTAGGTAAAATGTATAACTTTTCTATAGACAAAGAGTGTTACATTTTAGCTTAATAAGTGTTACAGTCTCACGTGTGACAATCTCACACAAGACCAATTACACGTCTCACGTGAGATAGTCTCATACTAGACCAACTCCCTTGTAGATGTCTGGGTGACCGGCTTAGCAATCAAAAGTTTGACAAGTGAGATTTCTAATCCAATCTAGACTCTTTAGGCATTGCTTAAACAACACGCAAAACATCATATCATTATTAATCATAGATGAGATAATGAGAATGGTGAAATTGTAAACACTAAACAAAGTTGATAGAACATCTGACCTACCATAATGTCAACAACATCTGGTCCCATCCGAATTTATCCACCCTTATTATGTCTATAAGGGTATTTGATTCCAAGATTTCTCTTTGGGATTTGAAAGGGGAATAGGGCAAAGATTGACTTAGTGCTTTTCTCTCAACTAGAGATAACAATTTATGTCGAGACGAGCATACTTATGAATTAGGTTTTCTTATCTATCCATGTTGGATGCAGAACTTGCGAAATCTGCGGGGCAACAGCGGTCAATATTGCTGGAGAGCAGGCGATCGAAGAAATCGATACTAGTGGAGTAGCTTCAGCAGCACCGGTGGTGGTGTCTGAGAACCAAAACTTTTGGCGTGGTCGTCGTGTCATGAACTTCCTACTTGCCTGTATGGTTTTTGCCTTTGTCATCTCGTGGCTCTTTCATTTCAATATTCTCCCGTGAAGGCACCCACCCGGGCAGTACTCTCAAGGTTTGAGACAGAATCCCGAGCCCTTTTTAATCTATTCTGCAGAGGCTTATTTGGATATACAGTAGGGGGATATCATCTTTAAGAAGTTCTAAACATTTACTAGTTCAGCCCTTTTGGATGATTAGTTTGTACATAAAACCCTTCTGGAAGAGTGAATTGTTATTATTCCTTGCGTGTAAATTAATACTCCTTTTGCAGTCTATCAGTGCATAAAAGTAAACAGATGTGTTCATAACAGTAACCTAAGAATCTAAATTCTTGGAATTCTGCATTTCTGCTCTGCCATTTTTGTTCCTGAAAGCTTCAACAGCTTGATCAAAGGTGCTTCTTACATGCTGGCAGGTAAGCATCAAGTCTTGGCATGAATCTTTCAGCACTTCCTTTGCAGGATCCCCTATAATCGAAGCCAAATCCATTTTTTTTTTAATAATCCTTCAAGAATTTTAACATAATTACTGCAAGGATTGATTTGAGAGATGAAAGTTTGAAGCTTTACCAGTAGTCTGAACTCTAATGTTCACCCGAACCTCGGAGGGATGAGGGATGCTGTACCCACAAGTAATCACTCTTGGGCTGCAGAATTCACACAAAAAAAGTGGTAAAATTCATTCACATTTCACAGGATTTAAAGAACAAAACAAAACATTTTCAGGAAGATTCTTGTTGAGAAGGAACTGCATGAAAATTTCAGTGTTTTGCATGAATGAGAAACAGAAATCTGCAGAAAAAGGAAGGAGAAGAAGAAGATCTAACTCTTGATTAAGAGTGAATCTAAGAGCATTGGCTAGAGAATGATCCTCATCCTTGAATGAAAATGTTGAGCTTGATTGATCTTTGGTTGATCCGTGTTCCATTAGCCCTATCAAGATCAACTGATTTTCAGCTATACAATCATACATACATAAACAATTTCAATAGTAACAGGTACAGTTATATACCCGAAAGTTGATCAGCACTTTAAAAAGCCCCAAACTGTTTTCCTCTTCTTCTTCGCCGGTGAAGAAACCCTAAATAAACCCTGTTGCCAATCTGCATTATATTCAGTAGTTCTTAGAAACTCCGGAGGGGACTAGTTCAACTCATCCAGGATTCCAGGGCGATTTTCTTGGATTTAATCTTTTTTTTTTTTTCTTTAGTATAGAGTGTAATTAAATACTAAAGAACTCTCTATACTAAAGAAAAAAAATAAAATAAATAAATTTTGTACATTCCCTGGAAAAGAATCCTATATCCCTTGAGGGTATCAAGTAATTAGATTCCTAGTTGACTAAAACTACATGTCAATAATTTTTCACGAGTTAATGCCATCTGAGGTTCTCCAAATATAATAATTTTGTCATGTTTAGCCCTAAACTTTTGTTAACGACATGTAATCTTTTAACTGGTCATGATTATTCAAATTTCAAAATTTAACCATCAATGGTCCTTCTAAAAGAATGATTATGCCCTTACTTTACACTGCCTAAACGGCTAAAACTAACATGACTTGTTAAAATTTTAAAGTTAAAAGAACCTGACAAAATCATTATACTTGGAGAACTAAGATTACATCAACTCATTTTCCGCCTTTTAATTCTCAAGAAAGTTCATTACAGCCTTATACCTTATATATTCCTGATCTGAACTAATCTGTACATAGCAAGAAATTTCCATCAAGTTTAGGCTTTTTTGTTTTCCCCATTGCTAATAAAGCCATGAAGTTGTGATATTTTTCAGGAGAGGATGTTTTTGAAGGATATGAAGATTTCTGGGAATGTTCACAGAAGCCAAAAGAAAATCTGTTTTCATTTGCAGACATTCAAATCTCTAAGCTGAAAAAAAAAAATACAAGATAATCATCACCTCCATTCTGATGAAAGCAAGAATGAATCTTTGTTTCTTCAGCATACTGTCAAATATTTTCATGGGTTGGGTAAATGGAAGGCGATTAGTGCAGCAAGGAGTTTAATAGAACAAGAAATATCTATACAGTTTTTAGTGTCTTTTTCTTCGGGCTTCCAGCGCAGCTCCATCCCCCAGTGTCTCCCGCGCATCAGAGTCCATTCCCAGGCTGAAGAGGGCGGCTGCTTGAAGATAGAAGGCGGTGGGCCATTCAGAATACACCGCCTGAGCTTGCATAGCATCTGCAAGCGCTTCCTGTGGCTTATTGCTCATCAGGTAACACAGAGAGCGTCTCGCGAGCACAGATGGGGACACAACTGTGCCGCCCTCTATAAACTGCAACCGAAACATATTCAATTCTATAGATACAGAAAGAACGGGCACTGATATAATGATCTGCAAATACTTTTTCGAGTGCCTTGTGACTCTAGCCAGCAAAGGAGGTAAACCAACTTAGGTTGCCCATAGCTGAGCCAAGAAGGCCAATAGGTTGCTCCATCTGGAAGTCGAATTTGTAATCTTATGGTTACCAAGTTAATAGTCTAACCAACTTGGCTGGTCATAGCCTCACTAGGTTATAGTGTTAATAGATGTGAGTATATAGCCACTAATGTGCAATCCAACTATTAGCTTAAGCTTTTAGTTGAGATGGAGCACATGCTTCAATTTGGTATCAGAGCCAGACCAAAGGTCATGGGTATCCAACTACTATTAGCTTAAGCTTTTAGTTGAGATGGAGCATATGCTTCAATTGTAGACAGTCTTGGTTTAGCTAGGAGCAAGTGTTCATTCAATCAATAGACACGAAAAAACCACAGCTTTCGTAAAACTTTTGCAATCTTTTGATCGACAGAAATTATGGAGATATTAGTATTCTAATGTGAATTTCTTTCTATATGACGCATGTCCAAAATTAGAGCTTCCACACTGGTGTTGATAAAAACTAAAAAACGGGTGGCTTACCTCTGTGTAACAATCAATGGCAGTTGTAAGATCTTTAGCCCGGAAAGCAGTATCACCTCGTTTCCTACTATTTAAAGTGTCCTGTATTTGACCAGTCCACATCTGAAACGAGAGCTGCAAAAGCAAAGAATGTCAGCATATCAACCCAGAGATGAATTACTAAGAGACTGACTGTACAAGGATTGTGCTTGAGAAATATAAGAAACAAAACGCAAAAAGATTTAATCTTTGGACAGTTGCAGCGATTTAACACGAGAATAAAACAAGGAAAAGATAGGGCATTTGAGTAGATGAGTACGATCTGAAAGCAGAAACACCAACCTCATTGGCAACCCCTTCATCATCTTTGTATCCAGTAGTTTCAAGAATTTCGTGGATGGCAGTTAGATCGACTCTTGAACAAGCTTCACCGAGAGGTGATAATCTCGGTGATTGTTCCTGAGCTGGTGTTTCTTGAGACATGCCCATCAAAACATGTGATGCCACCTGCAATAATAGTGAAAAATGGCCATGACAGCTGGAAAAGGATCAAGGTTGACCATATATATATATATACAGTTTAAGATGTTGCCATGAACTGATGCGAAATTTATAAAAGAATAAAAGTTACATCTGCTTCTTTCTGAAGAGAAGTAAGATTGGTAACAAGGGATTTGACATTTGGTCTCTCCCGAGGTTCATACTGCAAACAACGCGTAGCCAATCGCACTACTTGAGTTCCTTCGTCATTTGAGAAGTGACCCTCCAAACACGAATCCATCAACACCAGATAATTCTTTCCACGTATCAAGTCAAGTGCCTGTACAAAGAAGTAGTTGAACGGATGGAACTTGTTTTAATGAAATGCTTCTACTATTAATCTTTTGCATATATATCTTTTTTGTGTAATGTTTAATTCTGATTATGGAGATGCCTAAGTTAATCTTGCAACTCGATCATCATGATTTTAAGAACGAGTGCTTACATGGGTCGGTGGAATATGCTTTCCGCTAAGAAGATCAAGCAACAGGGTGCCAAAACTGAAAACTACACTCTCAGGCGTTATTCTGCCTGCCAGAAGAATAACAATAATAATAATTTCAGTCAACATTTTGAGTTTGCACATTAATGACTATATGCTCAACACGCCCCTCACGTGTGCGATCCTTTGGTCTGGCTTTGATACCAAATTGAATCATGTGCTCCATCTCAACTAAAAGCCAAAGCTGATAGTTGCATTGCACATTAATGGCTATATGCTCAACAATCAGTACCTATATGTTGCAATTATGACAATGAAATATGCCCTCTCAAAGATAAATTTTCACACCTGTTCTTAAATACTCCGGAGGGGTGAAGGCCAGATTTGTACTATAACTCTTTCCATCTCGACTGTTCTTCATTAAGCCAAAGCACGAGAGCCTTGGATTACCTTCCTGTCACATGCCAAATATTAGGAGACGAAAGTAGAAATTCTTTGAACATCGAACAAAACACAACTTAGGAAATGCCAATAAGTCCACGAGATTAAGGTTAGCAAACTTACTTGATCAAAGAGAACTCTGTAGGCATTGAGGTCGTGATATAGTGCCCTCCCCTTACCGGTGCAATAATCCAACGCTTGTGCCAAATACAAAGCAACTCTTAACCTCATTGCCCATTTCAGCGGTTGGGTATCCCCTAAATCAATTCAATCAACACCAAATATTTACGAATTACGACTCTTTCTTAAGACGAAAGAACTCATTTTTACATATAATCAAGCAAACTATTAGCACGAATCAAGAATCCCGTGGATCAAGTTCTATCATGAGACGGTTTGAATACGGATCACATCTTAAATCTCCGGAAAGCTTTGTATATAATGTCAACATAGCACACAACCTCCTAAACCCTAATACATTTCATCAAGTCTCGTTTATCCGAAAATACTGGAAAGAAATCACACAACTCACAATGAAACAAATGTTTCGACAGTGTCTCGTGAGGCATAAATTCTGCAACAAGCAATCTATCATCCCCCTCATAGCAGCACCCTAATAAGTTCGCCAGCCGCTCGCTTCTCAACTGCCCCACCATTCTTGCTTCATCCTAAGAACAAAACATCAAGACAGCACACACATAAACACAATTTGCAGATGCAAACATTCCTCATTTTCATCAAACAGTAGAAAAAACATCCTTATTTTCTTCAAACATAGAAAAAACATCCTTATTTTCTTCAAACATAGAAAAAACAGTTGTGCATCAAATACTGCCATCAAATACTTACAAGGAACTGGCGAGCATCGGGCCAGGCGGACTTGTGGAAACGCTTAACGGCGATCAAATGGCCGCCGTCTTCGAGGTGGCCTTTATACACAACATTTGGAGCCTTCTCGCCATGTTCAGATACAATGTTGTCCACAGAGAACCCTGAGGTGGCAATTTTGAGCTCATCTAACCCATACTCTCTGAAAGCTGGCCATTTCCCCTGCTCAGTCTCTCCACCTTTGTCTTTGAAAGAATAACACAAATCCAAGAAAGAATCAGCAGAAAAGAGGAGATATTAAGTTGACAAAAAAACTGAAATTTATAGATTAAGAACAAAACCTTACCAAGATCAGAGGAACGTGGGATATTGGAATCGATGTTTGAAGACCAGAAACAAAACCCAAGCTTGGAGCAACGAGCTCCCATTGAATCAATTATGGAGGACTAAAAAAAATAAAAATAAAGACAGAATCTTTTGAAAGAGAGTCAGAGACTGAAATGCAACAGTGTTTCTTGGTACTCTTCTCTGCTCAAAACCCTTCTCTCTCTAAACTTAACATGGCAAGAGAAGAATTAGAAGGCTTTTCTTCAGCTGGTGGAATGAGAATGGAGATGGGAATATAGCAAACAGGGTATGATGTGATGTTAGAATTGTTTAATGATTTCCCATTAAGAGAGAAGAAAAGGAAAGAGGGTTTTGGAGATGGAGATGGAGAGGGGAGAGGGTTGCACACTTCCACATTCCATCTGCCTGGACATACACACAAACGCACATTATTTATCTTTCATCTTTTTGAATCAAGAAAGCATGCCTGTGACTTGTTCATTTTCTCTATTTTCCTTTGACATTCACAGTCATTACCCAACAAACCACTTCTTCTTTCTTTAATCCTATTTTATCACTCCAACAAAAAATATTCTAATTTTTCTTCTTCTTTTTTGACGTTTAATTTCTAAAATACATGTAAAGTATGTAGTATCTCAAGAGTACAAAATAGTAATGTATATTCAGTCACTCCAGAGACCTGGGACAAAAAATCTGGTGAGATTCGATCCTGAATCAGTATCAGTATATTTTTTAATTTCATCTCTATAACCAATTGAACTACTCATTTTTATCATTACTTAATGCAAATACATGACACCTTAATTTTATTCATGCTATTATAGATAAACTAATTTTAAAAAAAAAATTAAAATAAGAGTTATTGCGTTAAAAACTCCTTAACTTTTTTATATTTGGTCCTTACCAACAATATACTAAAAAAAAATTATAGCTAAAAATAAGTTGTTGAGTAAGTGAAATAAAATTATTATATTAAAAAATAATGAATTCGATTATTGTTAACATCATTTTTTGACCTAAGTTGAGATCATTGTACATAATATTTTTAATACAATTTATCTTTTCAATACAGAATAAGTATTTGATCCATAAATAATGATCACCACTTTCCTTTGTTATTTATTAAAGAAAGAAAAAAAAAAACTACATTTGATCTTAAAAAGAAAAAACGAAAAACAAATTGGATCTGTAATTTGATACGAAGAGATTATAGAGGACAAAGCAGTAATTTAACGTAGGATAGTGTCACGTGGAGGGCGTCGCGGGTGCGGCGTGCTGTCGCTTCATGCTTCCGTCACTTTCAACGTAGTTCCATTCACACATAACAATCTCCCAGATTTAATTGCTTGTTAAGGATAGCCTCTCACATATTTTTATTCTAAAAATTATCTCTTATGTTTTTTTTGAAAGGAAAAATTACAGACTAATTTTCATTCACATTCAGCCGGCCTCGATCTCTTTTAAAAGATAAAAATATACAGTCACTCACGTCAACTAAACTGGTTGTAAAAAGATTTATTTAATTACTTATTAAATGTTTTTATAACGATATGTATTTGATTAGGCAAAAATTAGTTGACCGTCACATATATCATTGTTTGTGAGATGAATTGAGTGAAAACCAAATATAATACTTATACTGACAAGGTTGCAAAACACGTTAGGCGCCCCCTAGGTGAGTCATTGTTCAGGTGAGTCCATCCTTTTCCATAAGTCCATGTAGACATATTTGGATCATGAAATGCTTAAAATCAATAGCTTAGATTTTGCAAACTGTGCATCTCACTTGTACATTTAATCATGAGTCTATATGTATATAATTAGGAAGAATTAAATAAAGTACTATACTAATATTTGATTTTTTTTTTGTTTAAATTAAGAATTTAATATTTAAAATTTAACGATATTTCTCTTCTTCTAATATTTTCCTCGAAAATGAGGAAGGAGAATTATTTTATTTTATTTTATTTTTGAACAAAAATATATATATGGAGAACACAACGAGATCACGAGGACAATGTGATGGATGTTTAAAACTAATACTTTTTCCTTGTATATTTTGGTACTTTTTGCTTGTTACTCATTATATTATGGAGTTATTTTGGTCACTTATGAAATTATTGTGTGTGTTAGGTGATTTGACAAAGAAACAATGTTTTGAGGCATTTAATGAAGTATTTGATCAAATTTTTAGAGTCACCTTAGCACGATAGCACAATTGAATGACTAAAGTAATGATTTTTGAAGTTTTGGAATGGACCATAACGAGACCCGCGACTGAGGAAGACAGCAAAGCATTACTGAAGATCTTAGAGGCTTCCCCGACTAGCTGCGGGTGTGGCTACACCCATGGCTAGTAGACAGTGAGCACTGTCTTGTGGCCACGGGTCTGGGCACGCCCTTGCCTGCACCCGTCGCCACTGGACAACATTCACTGTTTTGTGGGCAAGGGTCTTTCCTTTGTTTTAAGACAACTCTTTCCACCCCAAAAACTCACCTTTCATTTCTCTTTCACTTCATAGCTATGGTTAACTTTAGAATATCTTAGATAGGTGTAGATTGGTTATTCCTTTGCATTTTCAAGCTCAAGAAGATTGCAAATCTTGGATTTCAAAGCTTCAATAGAGAAGTTTTTCTTATTATCTCTTCTATTTACCTTTAATTTATGCTTTCAATTACTATTTTAATATTGTGTATCTATTGTTATATTATGAATAACTAAGTGTTTTGAGACTAGGATTTGGTTTGATTTCTTGCTATTGATGCTTATTTGAGTTGTATTGCATAAAGGGGATTATTTGAGTGTTCCAGGGTTAGTTGTGTGAATTGGGTTTGTTATGAAATTGTGTATAATTGTTGGATCCCAATTATATGCGTTATTTGGGGTGTGTTTGTTGCTACGAGAGTAGAGCTTGTACACTAGCCACACATTCACACACTTAATGCCCAATACGAGAGTATTTCGGGTATTAAGGAGAATTTATGCTTTGTGTTCTTGCTTGGACAAACTTGGATTTAATTTGCCACGAGAGTGGAGTTTAAAGATAGGTTGCAAGTCCAAATAGCTATGAGAGTGGTATTTGGACACTTTTGTGCTTCTCACTTACCCTATGCCTTGTTTAATTCCCTAATCTTACTGTAATATTTGGCATCTTAGCTTGAATCAACTGTCCCGGTCCTTTGTTTTACTTGTCTTATTTGTTATTAGCTTAATCTTATCAAACCATTTCCTTATCGATATGTTTAGCTTCTAAAAGAATAGTTCTAGCTTGTGTTTAGCTTCACTTTGCATCAATTCCTAACATTACAAGAGTCATCTCCAGTGGAACAGATATCTTAACACTGTACTGTAATTTGATACTTGATGGATGCTTGAAAACTGTCCTCATCACAAAGACATAGAGTACTCTTTGTCCTTCCACATTGCTATACGATTATCCCTAATGGGGTGTTTGGTAGATATAAATTGTAATTCTTTTCCCACTTAATTCAAAGAAGTGAAAAATTTCAGAGTTTGAATTACAATTCTTCAAATTTGATGAATTGCAAATCCTATCTCTCCCAAGATTATGCATAAGAAAATTTAGAGTTTGAGGACCATGTCCTCCCTAATAATCATACATCTTTATATAAAAATTACAATTGTATAAATATTTTGATCTTTATACTACTTATTTTATTTTAGTTATCACACACACATGTATGTATGTATATAAAACAAATACTATACTTGAAATTTTTAATAACTATATTCTTATCTATCAAAGTATCAAACAATAAATATTATTCTTTTCCCATAAAATTATAATTACTTTCTCTCTAATTTTCTCATGTTAACCAAACGCCATGTAAGTAAATATCAAGAGTAAAAGCAAAAGGGCATGTCCGCATGTTTTGGTCAAAGACTCAAAGTTGGAAAATCCAATTAAGCTAGGAATTAGGCGTAATAATTGAACTAATTTATTATTATTTTTAAATAACATTATCAGTTATCATCATGAACTAATTTATTATTAAAAAAAAAAAATCATATCAGTTATCATCATGTTCGCGAAACACATAATTAATGTTTTTAATCTTATAGTCTCTTAAATTTTAAATTTTGAATATTTTTGTAAGTGCCCCATATTTATTGAAAATTTATTAGGGATGATCATGATTTGATTTTGGTAAATGGTGACCATGATTTGTTTGAACTTTTTTTTTTTTTTTTTGTAATTTGTTTTAAATAGTCTAAATTCAACAATTAATTTAAAAGATTTATTTATTTTGAAATTTTTTGAAGAATGATTATACAAAATATTTAAATTTTAAATTTAAACTAAAAAATAAAAATAATATTGAATTTGTACTTTTTTAATGTTATTGACTCTATTACAATGTAGTATGTGTTCACACATACTTTCTAAATCATTTGAAATACAAAGAGTCAATGCTACCACACTGGGGTTCGAAATAATTTTGGAGTCTAAGCTGATTGTATGCTTTTTAGAAATTAATTACTTTTTTTTTTCAAATTTTAACCAAAAATTGGAACTTTTTCTGTTCGATTCGAATTGAATTGTGGTCATCCCTAAAAGTTAATAACTATGCAAGTTGAGTTTTGGATTGTTTAAACATTATATTGGTCCTGTTTGGTAAATGGTTGTTATCTATTAGCTGATTGGGTTAATTAGAAAGTATAATTAGTTGATAACATTAGCTGATTGTAGAAAGGTGTTTGGTAAATTAGCTGTTAGTTGATAGTTGTTTTACATTTTTTTTCTCAAAAAGCTAATTGAAAAAGTTGCTTTGAGTAGCTTTTTGAATTTTAGCATTTTGGAGTACAAAAAACTAATTAACCAAATATTTATGACCCTGTTTGGTAAATGGTTGTTAGCTGTTGGTTGATTGAGTTAATTAGAGGGTATAACTAGTTGATAACATTAGCTGATTGTGAAAAAATGTTTGGTAAATTAACTGTTAGCTGATAACTGTTTGGTATAATTTCTTTTCTCAAAAAGCTAATTGAAAAAGTTATTTTGAGTAGCTTTTTTAATTTTAGCATTTTGGAGTTACAAAAAGCTATTTAACCAAACACTTGTATTAATTTTTTGACCAAGTCAAACAACTAATAGTGGTCAAATAAGCCAAAATTGACCTATAGGCTAACTATTTTACCAAACAGGGCCTATATTAATTTTTAAATCAAGTCAAATAAGCCAAAATTAACCTATATGTTATTTTTTTTTTTGAAGGAAGCCTATAGGTTAATTATTTTACCAAACTGGGTCATTAATTTTTAAACAAAATCAAACAGTTAATAAGTCAAAATTGATCTATACGGAGCTATTTTCCCTCTCTTTCCCATTGTATATTTTGTCATATAGATTTACAACATGTTTAGTCACGAAATATGTAAAGAATTTATTTAATAGCATTCTTGAGAATGTGTATATTTGGTTGTCTAGTAAGTAATATGTCAGCGAACAACCAAGCTCATCCCCGTTCTCCGTCCCTACGGTCAGGGACCTAAGCGATAGTTTGCTCCATTAACATGGGAATGAGAATGGAACCCCTAACCTCATGATTAAGAAACGAGGTGTTGAACCACCACATCAACCATGTTAATTTCTTAGTTTGCTATAATAATAGTTTGATTTGTTGGCTTTCAAATAATAATAATAATAATAATATAACTCAGAACCAAACAATGGAATAAAATTTATATTTTATTTATTGTCTATTCCAATTCCTGTGAAATATGATTTTTCTTTTTCTCAAAATTCTTTCCATAATCAAATATATTGTTAGTTCTTAAATGATTATCAAAGTGACAATTTCAATCTCTATTAAGATTTCGTTAAACCATAAGATCAAATTTGTCACTCATTAAAGAAGATAATGTACACCACAAATAATTGAAAGACTATCTTACATGATTATAATTGAAAGACTAAAAGTATCAATTTTCTCTTTATATATTTATTGACTTTCCCAAAATTAATATATACTCTTCTAAGAACTAATGAAATGATGTAGTTAAAAAGCCAAAAGAATACCCAGAATTTTTGGGGGGGTCCTTTCACTTTGACCTAACTTTTGTTTTTTGTCTTTATTTTATACATTTTTTTTAAAAAAAGCCTCCAATTTCCAGCTCAAATTATGGTTAAAATTAGCTGTGTTATCATCATATTATCTGAGCAAACATTTTGGGGCCTTAGACCCCAAATTGACATCATGAAATGCATGTATTTTCCTATTTAATACTCTCTTCCTCAGACCCTCACAGGCTCACAGACTGTTAGTTTGTCCCTCCAAACAGTTCCCCCTTCAAGATCCAATACAGGCAAAACTAGCTGTTAAACAGTACTACTGCATCTGCATGTTTTATGTCTCCCCAAGAGATATTTAGCAGCAGATGAAGTACAAGCAGCAGAGATTCTATGGCCATGATTGGACCGCCGGCCATCACTGATCTACGTTTTTTCTTTATTCGTGTAACTGTTTAGATTGACGATTAAAACGATAAAATTTCCCAGGCTGGTCAAAAAATGTTAGGACGGATGATGAAAGTGGGACTTGGTGTTTTGTCACATATTGACAATTATTGTCGAGGACAAAGTGTAAAGTAATTAATCTCTCGTCTTTATATAATAATTCAACAGGGCAACTGGGCAAGTGCTCTACTATCTATATATCCAGTGCATGTCAATATGTAATGTCTGTAGTATTTATAGTGTAGTGTCCATAACTACCATGTTTAGGGTTTTGATTTTGTTTTAGTTACAGCAATGGTGCATGATATGTTATATTGTTATGGTGTGAAATGCAAAAAACCAAATTGGGGTCTAGTCCAAGTTGGCAAATGGTCATAAGGGAACAAAATGTACAGAGCAAAGATGTCAAAGTCTTCAACTTTTTGTAATAATCTTGACACTGGTAGGGTACAATGGATGGGGGGGGGGGGGGGGGGGAGGGATTAAAGAAGAAAAGGAAAATGAGTTGGACAGGGTGATTGGAGTGAAGCAGAAAGGAGGCCATGTGAAGGTGCAGGTATATAGGAGAAAAATGAAGATGGTGTAGGGACCTTTCACTCATTCCTCAACCAAGAAGCAATTATTTTGCCACTATCATTGGCTCACATGTTAGCCATCATTCCACCAATCCTCACGTGATTGATTCTTCCAACTCATCTTGTGTTATCTCGCTATGTTCTTTGCGACGCATCATTCAATTTGGTATCAGAGCAAACATACAGTTCTCCTATCTAAGGCCTAAAGGACTCTGTTCTTCGCAATGCATCATTCAATATGGTATCAGAGCAAACATACAGTTCTCCTAACTGATGCCTAAGGGACTCTGTTCTTCGCAATGCATCATTCAATATGGTATCAGAACAAACATACAGTTCTCCCATTTAAGGGAGTTAGGGAAGGGATATAGTTCTCCAATTCATCCTTTTTGGTGATTTTATGGCTATGATAGTTGGGTTGAATCATCATTTCCTATTTGGACAGATCACTAAATGGTGCCCCCAAAAGTTTCCATATCTGCAGCAGCTAACACCAAATGCATTCATAAAATAGGTTGTTCCACCTCAGATGCCAATCACATGATAATGCTTCTTTCAACTCTACTAACATGAAACTAGAACTATTTACTACTACTAACATGAGTTGTGCTCTCCTATAAACAGCTTCAACTTTGTTACTTTGAGCCATTTTGGCTTTTTTTTCATGACCCTTTGTTGCTAGGTCTAAGATCTTAACTCATGATAATAAAAATAAAAAACACTATACAGACTTGATTTAGATCCCGTCTACTTACTATGAAGCATTCAATCTAGACTCTTCCAACAGGGGAAAGTGGTGGAATTGAGACCCGCTTGCCAGGAAACTCCGCCTGGGCTTTGTTAGAAACATTTGACACCATGGTGGGTCGAGAAGAATCCTCCCCAAATGCATTGCCGGATTCACAAAATCCATCTTGCTTTCTAGTATTTAAAACAGCCAGGCAAATGGAAAATGCTTGTAAGGTTTTGAGAGATGAGGTGTACTCCACAGAAAAGATACCATTCTTGAAAGGAAACAGCCTGAGGGCAGGCTTATTTTCTTGATCTTCTCCCTATCAAAAGATCGGAAATGACATTCACAATTGGTATTGGTTTCAAGTTTCAACTGAAATATGGAACTCGAAAATGAATATAACAATGGGGGGAGAAAACTTTGGACAAACAATTATATACCTGAGGATAAAGCTCAAACGGTTCAGCATTCGATGAAACTTTAGTTGAACTGGATTCCCTGCTCGTTCCATTGTGATTGGCAAGGATTCCTAGTTTACAACCCAAATCCCAACCCCCACAGTCACACGACCCACCTGACTTCCATCGTTCAATGAGTGAAGAAGGTTCACCTTTTCTGGGTATTCCATGATTACCACCAGGAAGAATAACGTTCATGTTAACATCTTGGGTCTCAGAACACATTCCAACTTTTACAACAATGGCTGCAAGCTCATCATTCAGCTGCGGGTCTGCAGTTTGCTGACCTGCCTGTTTTACTCCCATGGTAAACAACACAAACTCTCTAATGATTGATTGATAGCCTGACTTCTGGCTAATAACATCGGGGAATGGAACATCAGAAACCTTCATTTGTGCAATGACACTAGGAATATATCCATTTCTATCCTTTTTCTTCGTTTCATGGATGGTAAAGAATGTGTAGATCAAATTGTTCTTCTCCTTTGTGGACGAAATTGAATGCTTCATTGTGGCTGCTATAACGTTACCTTCATTCTCAACTGCAAATTTATATAGAGGAACGCTATTCTTGATAGCTACTTGCAGAAGAGCTCGCATTGTGGAGGGTCCATGTCTCCCAGCAGGAGATGGATCGCCAATTTCAATGGTTTTACATCCTTTTAAATCTAGTTTTACTTTCATCATGTATGGAGTAAGAGATTCTCCTCGCCTTGGGGCTGATTTGGAACGCTTATCTCTAGATGTTGAATCTCCCGGAAATAATCCAGTAAAATTGTCAGAACTGCCCGTCTTTGGCTTCAGCAATGGCTCCAGCAACCTTCTCAAAGGAGTAGATGCTGCCCTATTTTTGGCATCTGCTTTGTCGGGTGGCATAGTTGAAGTGCCTTTAGCATTACTGGTCCGGTCTATCCTACCCATCGTGATGCCAAACCAACGAGATGGAGAAGGACTTCTGGCCGTAGGTTCTAAAGATTCTTCTTTTGGATTCGATCCACGAGAAGATATGACCCGAGGTGGATTTTGCAGGTTCCAGCTTCTGGGAGGAGTAGATGACCTTTTCCCGGGACTGATTGAAGGTTCATTTGGTTTTGATGATAGTTTAATACCAGTCGAAAAGCTTCTTCTGGTTGTGCTGGATTGTGAGCTACACAACTTATCGTCTACCTTCATAAAAGGTTCTCCATCTAGAATCATCATCTTTCCCTTCGATTTGGATATCGAGATATCAACCTTTATATCTTGTGACTTCCTAGTCTTAGTAGCATGATGGCACTCCGAATGTTTACTCAATTCCTCTACTTTCTCAATCGAATCATGAAGTGTACTCCTCGGGACACTTTGTTGCACTTTCGAGGGTTTAGCTTGGCAAGGTTTTAGGTCCCCCCGCAACTTTTCAGAAGAAAATAGATGAGATTGCAGTGTAGGGTGATTCGAAGGAGAGCAGCTATGCCCGCTACTAGAATTGGACGATGACTCTTCGGTTGAGGAGAAAGAAGACGTATTGCTGCTCGACGGTGAAAATCCACTAGTGCTAGAAGGAATTTGCTTATGTTTACTTTGCCACCTTTCTAGATGCCTCCAATCAAGAACCCCAACATTAAAAGCCTTTTCGTGCTGGCTTTTTCCTCTTTGCAGATAGCTTGGCAAACTCGACATGTATCTAACAACCTCTTCATCATCACTTCCCTTCTTTTCACCCCGTTTCTTCTGGCCTAACTTGGCAGGTCTCGGTGGAACCACACCCCCATTTTCTAACGCACCACGATTGAAATTAGAAACTTCGGGCCTCTCAAACATCACCCTATCTCCAAACTTTGAACTATGCTTTGCTTGGTTCGATGTAAATCCACCATCTATCCCGTTCCCTTTCTCAGAGTGGCACTCCATGAGCTGCAGAGATGTAACCGCAAACTATCTGTCTATTCTAGCCTCGAAGATTACAACTTTTAGAATGCAAGACAGGTTCCTCAGTATACAATCAAGTGATTTCATGATTGGACCTGAAGAAAATGGATGACAACTGCAAAAAAAGACAAAGTTTCCAGCAAGTAGTCGATAAAAGATTCAATTTTTTTTAAAAAGACAGTAAAATAAACTAATGGAGTGGTCCTCTAAAGATAAGGTAAATCCACCCATCCTCACCAAAGATGGAACTCTTATAAAGGACAAAGCGTCGTGCCGATTACAGATCACGGATGACCTAATTTCAAAGTTTTGAATAGCGAAACCTCATTGAGGATGCATGTGAAGATACAAGTCAAGGAACATAACAGAGAACCTTCCAACACAAGCCCTCCATCACTAAAGAATCTAACTTTTTAAAGCATGTTTTACTTGTTTCCTATTCATCTATCTCTCATAAGCTTCTGGAGAAATAAGAACCACAAACAATGGGCAAAGACAGGAAATAGTTATTGTTATCTTCCACCATCTGCAATGAAGCCAAATTTAATCTAGCAATTATTTTTGGGTTCTCTACAACAATTGCAGACCTTAAAAGACTGCCCAAATTTCTGAAACTTTGTTTTGCTAATGCAAATGTTTCATGTTCTGAAAAGGTAATAATCATAAAACATCAACAATGATAGCACAAACCCTTGGGTTTCAGCTTTCAATCACAAAAATACAAGAAAATAGTGACCCCACAGAACAAACCTCAAGATATAATTACACAATTATGGAAATGATTTGAAGCATACCTAACTGAGACAACTCAAAATTGCGAAAACCCAGTGCAGAAAGAACCCCTCAATTGCCTCAGAAATAGCTGTCGGTGGACCAGAAATGCCGGCGGCGGTGAAGCCCAGACTTGCAATCCAAGAAAAGAGTGAAAAATAACAAAAACCCAGAAGAAAAACAAGGCCTTTATCAGAACCCAAACGCCTCCTTGAATTCCAGAACCATTTTTGGTCCTTTCACAGCTGGGCTGAAGCTCATTCTCTTGATTCTTGAAACCTTTCAAGAAATGGTGTGAGGGAATATACAGAATCACAGAGAAAGGGAAAAAAAGAGAGGCTATGAGTGAAAGCAAAGGTGGGTAAAAGGTAGAGGAGATATGGGAAAAGAGCAAAACTTTTGGCTGGAGTTCACTTTGTTTTTCTGGATTTATGTCAGGAGAAAAGGGTGTGGGGAACTGGGGATAGCGTCTTGTGATTCCTCTATAGGATTCTCTGCTGGGTAAATCTTTGAGCTCTCATCTTCATCTTTTTGTGGGCCTCATGCAAGTTTAACTGCAGCACTACATCAGCATTTCTACTCTTTACGTTTAAGGGATGGGTTTAATTGCACTTGCTCTGTCTCGTTCTGAAATCTGGTGAAATGGTGAACAGTGAGGTTGACTACGCTTCACTCAAGTATTTCTGCACAGGGATACACAGTGCCATTCATTTGAGGTCGTAAATATTCTTCCAACAGGTTGACCCAACCCTAAGGGCTCCACACTCTGACCGGAGAACATTTGGGAAAATGTAAATCATGGTAATTCAATTGAAGAATCACAAAGGCTAAACCTTTGCTCACTGCACACAAGAAATCCCCTCACTTTGAGAGGTAGCTCCCACACCAATCGTAAATATTAACCAAATAAATATACTTTGTTAAAAATTTTACTATGTTTTTTTGTTGGATTTTGGTTGTGGTTTCGACTATTTTAACATTTGAATTTGGTTTGATGGTTTCACAGAAGTTGTAGCTATTTGAGTTTTTTTTTTTTCAATGACACAAAAAATTACTTGATTTTGACATTTTTATGTTGAGATGTGATCGAAATATTCAATATTAGACAAGTGGTACGAAAATTGTAATGCATTTATTTTTTACTTCACTTTTATTTGAATTTGTCTAAATAATTAAAACCATTAAAAGCACCATTATTTGGCTATCTTAAAAGTATTTTAGCCAATTCATTAGCTTCATATTGACTCTTATCCTCTTTTGTTTACTTTGCTTTCAAAATTGTCCTTTAGTTGCTCATTGTTTGCCTTCAAAACTTTCTTACTCCTTACTTATGGATAAGTGCTCCTGGGAGCAAAATAACACAAATAAATCATAAATACATGAGGTTTGGAACGATTCACGAATAAAATGGTTTTACTAAAGGTTGAAAATATAGATAATAAAATATTTATAACTTACCTTGTTATTTTTGTCAAGAACTTTTAATTGTTAATCTCATGTGTGGATAGATCATATCAGTCATCACTTTTTACGTGAAACATATTATCATATGAACTATCCATTCAAGAGATTAATGGTTGAAACTTGTTGAAAAAATAGTTACTACATTTTTTTTTTAAAAAAAGTCAAGTATCTTGTGATATGATAGCATCACTGTTACCTTTACAAATGAAGGGTCTTGGATTCAGAGTCACATCTCAATTGAGAAGGTATCATGTTGAGCCGATAGTATAAGTAAGTTATATAATGCGAATAAAACTAAACTTAGATCAACACTATTTGTGAATTTTGACAAAAATTTTGCATGTGAAAAAATAATAGCGCGATTTTTATACAAATGGGGAGGATTTTTTTCATGCAAGTTTACTTTCAAATTTGTCCTTTAATTGTTCATTGTTTGCCTTCAAAACTTTCTAACTCCTTACTTATTGTGGATAAATGCTCATAGGAGCAAGATAACACAAACAAATCATAATTCAAATGAAATTTGGAACGATTCATGAATAAAATGGTTTAACTAAAGGGTGAATATATAAATAATAAAACACTTATTAGTAATCTCTCTATTTTTGTCAACAACTTTCAACCGATAATCTCCTGTATAGATAAATCATATCAGTCATCACTTTTTATGTGAAACATATTCTCATACAGCATGGCACATGTTGGCGTGATTCTTGTTTTATTATTATTATTATTTTTAATATAGCTTTTGTTTATTTATTTTTTTTTTTTACTCATTCTCTTTCCTACTTGAACCTGCCCAAACTAAGAAAATTTCTAAGCTAATGAACTTATATTAAAAATGTACAATAATAATAAAATTAATTTAGCTTCGTAAAATTGTGGCGAGAAGCGTAGAACCGTAGAAGAAGATCACTAGCTCTCATCCAACGGTCGGAACTCGGAAGCGAATGGTTAATAGCGGGTGGCCGGGTAACATCAAGGTTGTCTCCCCCTGGGGCCCACAACACAACCCAAATTTTAAACCTTATTTATTGGATATTGGACGCTTACGTTAAAGCAGACTTTATTCGCAAGACAAAGTTGGGCTGATAAAAACGCCATGAATTATGATGAAAAGGTTTGGATCCTTAATCTCTGCGGGGCCCGCCATTTGTACTTGATAGAATCATTACCATTCGATTTTTTGCTGTTCATATATTTCATAAATCGCATGATTTTATGCATTCATCATAAATATTGTGTCTTACAATGACATCAAAACAGTGCCCACAAATTTATGTTAAAAAAAAAAAACAACTACTTTTATTCTCCACTCTCAACCTTTACTTACACACTCAAAATTTTGATGTAGACACGTATAAGGGTCTACATAAAAAAAAAAAAAAAAAAAAATTAACCTATCAACTTCCTGCCACATCATAAAGTAATTTGAAGAGAGTAAAATTTAGGAGTACATGTAATAGAACTCTTTATGTAATTTAGTTCTACAGCCTTGTCATAGTTCCATATGTAGAGTTATGAACTTAATGAATGTATTGATATAAACACAAGCAGGTATAAACAGTGTTTAGAGGATAAAAGCTAGCAAGAAGTTACAACAACTAATCTAACATATACATCTATTCAATAGGAGCTAAACTAGAACAAATAGAGATGAAATATGCAGAATCCAAGAATTTGACCGGTTCCTTGGTGGAACCGTCAACGTAGCCCAGGAGATTGATACCAACAAGGCTTGTGTGAATCTGTCGGCGCCAAACTGAGAAGTTGGTGGTAGTGAATTTGATAGGAAAGTGGGTGAGAGCATTTAGTTGAATGATCTCATTGATCTTGGTAGTGGTAGTAGGGGCCATCCATTAGAGAAAAAGGAAAAGAAAAAAAAAAAAAACTTTCGTAGGAGATTTAGACTCTTGATACCATGTAGAGTTTATGAACTTAATGAATGTATTCATATAAACCCAAGCAGATATAAATAGTGTTCAGAGGAGAAAACTAGAAGAAGTTACAACAACTAATCTTTTTGCTATTCAACCAGAGCTAAACTGGAACAAATAAAGATAAATATGTCGGCCACATATGTTCTTAATACCATATGCCTCCTCAATTAATATACGGAGTATATACATATGGATATGGTCTGAAAGGAGTGAACGAATTAGTATATCATAATTTTGTATCATAAAATTACAAATTTGATTATTGCTAACCTCTTTTCGATTGAGCATGTTACATGTGATTTACTTTTTTTATGTAATTTGTAGACTATTTCAACACTGGAAGTGAAGAAATGAAGTGTACTAGTTTATCAAGTGCCCTTCAACACCCATGAACTACTTTTATTCTCCACTCTCAACCTTTACTTACACACTCAAAATTTTGATGTAGACACGTATATAAGGGTCTACATAAAAAAAAAAAAAAAAATTAACCTATCAACTTCCTGCCACATCATAAAGTAATTTGAAGAGAGTAAACACTACTACACAGCAGGCTTTTAACGTCGGCTAAATAGAGCTTTTAACGTCGACTATGTTCCGTAGTTGTTCTGGACGACGTTGTAAATATTATCTATAACGTCGGCTATATAAATAGCCAACGTTATATATTATTTTAAAAAATAAATAAATAAAGTTTACAACGTCGGCTAATAGCATTTAGCCGACGTTGTATAGTATTTAAAAAAAAAATACTTACAACGTCGGCTATTAGCATTTAGCCGACGTTGTATAGTATTTTAAAAAAAATTAAAATACTTACAACGTCGGCTAAATGCTATTAGCCGACGTTGTAGGTATTTTAATTTTTTATAAAATACCTACAACGTCGGCTATTAGCATTTAGCCGACGTTGTAAGTATTTTAATTTTTTTTTTAAAATACTATACAACGTCGGCTAAATGCTATTAGCCGACGTTGTAACCGTTATTTATTTTTTAAAAAAATATATTCAACGTCGGCTATTACTTAATAGCCGACGTTGTATTTTTTTTTTTTTAATATACAATTTATTTGTCCATTATTTATACCCAAAAACCTGCTCAAATCTACTCACAACAACAATCACAACCTAAACCTGCTCAATTTCTCACAACCACAATCAAAACCTGCTCAATTATTGCACCGCAACCACAACAAAATATGTACAATCTAATCTAATATTTATAATGAAACAAGTAATAAAAGTAATAAATCTCACAATTTGATACTAATTAATAATACAAGTTAACATTATCGAAAGCTAATATCAATTTGTTCAATTTACATACTTAACCATACATCAACAAAGAAAAAGAAGTCGGCCCATACGTCTCTTACTTGATCAATTTCTTGTTGAGTGTAGCTCGATCTACCAACTCTCTCAACAATCTACAAAGTTGATAATTATTAAATAATTAGTAAGCTAGCATTTTTAAAATTAGAAAGAGAAAGGTATTATATTAAATTACATGCCTTATCCATTCCCGCGCATGCTTCTTTGGAAAGAATTTCAAGCATTTATTTCATCACATAATATCCACATGCCGTACTTCCAACTTGTTGAGCACACTACATTTGAATTAAATTATATTTAAAATTTTATTTAATAAAAAATAATAAAATATATGTAGTTTTACAAATGTATAAAATACTTACCAAAACCTTAGTCCATTTTGGTGAACGAGTTGATCCATTGCTTCTCAACAACTTTGCTGAATTGACACACCTAAAATTGAAACATTAGGATCAACGTAACACTTGGAAAATATATAAGTACTTAATACATAATTACTGCAATTATAAATAGTACCCCAAAAAAAGAAGTTAGAAGACTCTTAAACCAGTGGTTACTGTTTAGGATTCTCCATTCAGCCTGTGTAGGGCAACCTGCCATAATGAATGGACTTTAAGAAAGAAGAAAAGGATGACAGCCAATTAACAAGTTCATATACTTATAGACAGCCCGATGGTTAAGTATCGAGCTCTAACGACCATTTGTATTGACTCAAATTCAAAGAGACGACATAGTACGTTTGAGTCGTTTAAGCATATAAGATTAAGAGTTTGAACTTAATTTCATCCAACGAGATGCAGATACCAGCAAAGCAGTATGCAAGAAAAAGAAAGAAAAAAAAGGTATAATTTATATTTGACAATGTTCATAATAATCTTGTGGGATGCCAGGATACTTGCAAGCATTAGTGACAGACTCAGAGGATAGGCCGCCTTCCTGGTTCAACAGGTTCTCTGAATCCCCGGGAGCTACTGCCATCGATCTCTGACCTTTTGATGTCTCTACCACCTTCACATTATATCACACAACAACTGATTTTCAGTTCCCTGTTATGTGGGAAAATGTAGGTTTAATTTGTACATTCTATTATATAGAGCCAATACCTGCTGTCTTAATCGTTCATTTTCTTCCATTAAATGCACTCCCTGCAATTTTTGAAACTTCAATTCACCACTGTGAGTACTCAACCTTAAAACAACACTAGTATACCTTTTCTTGAAGCTGGTTTATTTCCTTCATAATCTTTTCACCCTGACAAATTAGTCGAAAAAACAAATGTTTGTGAAAAATATAATAGACCATATATATAATCATAACAATAAACCATAATATCACTGGGTAGCACAAATTAAACCTTATTGTTGATAACATGGCCCAAACCTATTTGAAGGGACCTCTCCAACTGCTGCAACTCTTCAATACTCAATTCTTGAAGCTCCTCTCCCCTCATTTGCCTGTTCATATATAGCCAAGACTACATCTTGATTTTAGTATGCATCATTTAGCCAAGAGTACAGAAAACAACACACAAATTAAACTCACCTCAGCTATTGCATTTCACTAGAAATATCATCACAACTTAGTAGGTTAGATGTCACATTGGTTCTAATGGGATTTTTTTTTTTTTTCTTTTGGTGGTTCTTGATATTCTGGAGCAACGTTAGTATAAATAGCAAAGCTTATAAATTTGGAATGGTAACTGAGATGTCATCACACTACATGGTAGTTGACAGCTAACTAAACTTATTACTTACAAATTTGACAAAAATAATTTTATAAGCCATTGTTAACAGTTGCACATTACATAATAGCTAATGTAATCTCATTTTAATTTCTTACAAATCGAACAAAGATATATAACCTTTCATTACTCAATGTTGATGCAGCTAATGACATTAAGCTAGGTACAGCTAAAGACTAGGCATTAAGCTCAACTTTTCTAAGTGCAGCTTTGCCAAGATCAATGCCACACACATCAGACAGCCTCACTAGGTACAACAAAACATCAGAGAGCTCTTCTCCTAGGTGTGTCTTTTCTGCCTCTTCCCACCAATTCATTAAATGAAGTCCAACAACAAATTAATCCATCAATTCATATCTTCTAAATTTTCAACTAACCTCAATATTCGTTAATTCTAGAGTTGTTAATCCTATATTATATAATTTTAAAAAATTATTATTAAATACTTAATTAATTTTTTCGTTATTAAGTTAGAGAATTTTGTAGAGTTATACCAATAACAAATTACCAATTACAATTACAAATTATATACAAATAATTACCGATTACAAAACAATCTAGAATATACCAATTACCAAATATATACAAACAAACACTAAAATGCAAATAAATGGACTAAAAATCGAAATTAATCAATAATAATTACAAATATATACAAATAAACTAAAAAATGCAAATAAATTGACTAAAATTCAAAATTAATCAATAAAAATTACAAATATATACAAATAAACCCTAAAATGCAAATAAATTGACTAAAATTCGAAATTAATCAATAAAATATACAAATATATACAAACAAACCCTAAATTGCAAATCAATTTAATAAAATTCGAAATTAATTAATAATAATTAATATATATATATATATATATATATATATATATATATATATATATATATATATAACGTACCGGCAGTGTCCGTCGATGGCGTAGTGGCGGAGGGAAGCGGCCGGTCTGAGACGGTGCGGCCGCGGGGAGGAGAGTGTGAAGCGACGGCGGCGGGGGTTGAAGTTGCAGCGACGGCGGCGGGGGAATGAAGTTGCAGCGGCGGCGCGGGGACGACGTCGGCGGGGAAGGAGTGTGCGTCGGGGACGACGTCGGCGGGTTGCAGCGGCATCGGCAGCGGCGGGGGAGGCGGTTGGAAGAAGAGATGGAGGAGATGGATGAGAGGGGAGGAGATGGATCGGAGGAAATGGAGGAGATGCGATGCGGTGGTCTGAGATCGGGTCGTCTGATGGCTTTATTTAATAACCTTTATAACGTCGGCTACTTTAGTTAGCCGACGTTATAAAGAAAAAAAAAATTAGAAAAAAAAAATTAAAAAGAATACGACGTCGGCTATATAATCAGCCGACGTCTTATTATATTTATTTTCTTTTTTTTTTCTTTATAACGTCGGCTAAAGGGAAATAGCCGACGTTATATATAAATAATTTTTTTTAAAAAGTAATAAACAACTTACAACGTCGGCTATTAATATAGCCGACGTCGTAGGTTACGTATTTCTTTTATATTTTTATGTTTTATTTATAACGTCGGCTATTAATAAATAGCCGACGTTATAAACTTAATTATAAAAAAAAATTTAAATGTTTTTAACGTCGGCTATTTATATAGCCGACGTTAAAGACCCGACGTTGTATGTGAATTCTGTAGTAGTGAAAATTTAGGAGTACATGTAATAGAATTCTTTATGTAATTTAGTTCTACAGCCTTGTCATAGTTCCATATGTAGAGTTATGAACTTAATGAATGTATTGATATAAACCCAAGCAGGTATAAATAGTGTTTAGAGGATAAAAGCTAGCAAGAAGTTACAACAACTAATCTAACATATACATCTATTCAATAGGAGCTAAACTAGAACAAATAGAGATGAAATATGCAGAATCCAAGAATTTGGCCGGTTCCTTGGTGGAACCGTCAACGTAGCCCAGGAGATTGAGACCAACAAGGATTGTGTGAATCTGTCGGCGCCAAACTGAGAAGTTGGTGGTAGTGAATTTGATAGGAAAGTGGGTGAGAGCATTTAGTTGAATGATCTCATTGATCTTGGTAGTGGTAGTAGGGGCCATCCATTAGAGAAAAAGGAAAAGAAAAAAAAAATATTTCGTAGGAGATTTAGACTCTTGATACCATGTAGAGTTTATGAACTTAATGAATGTATTCATATAAACCCAAGCAGATATAAATAGTGTTCAGAGGAGAAAACTAGAAAAAGTTACAACAACTAATCTTATTGCTATTCAACCAGAGCTAAACTGGAACAAATAAAGATAATTATGTCGGCCACATATGTTCTTAATACCATATGCCTCCTCAATTAATATACGGAGTATATACATATGGATATGGTCTGAAAGGAGTGAACGAATTAGTATATCATAATTTTGTATCATAAAATTACAAATTTGATTATTGCTAACCTCTTTTCGATTGAGTATGTTACATGTGATTTACTTTTTTTATGTAATTTGTAGACTATTTCAACACTGGAAGTGAAGAAATGAAGTGTACTAGTTTATCAAGTGCCCTGTGTGAAGGCCCATCTTTCTGAAGAGAAGCCTCCAGTTTTCTCTTCATCTCCATAGCTCTCTTCCTCAGCTCTTCACTCTCCTCTCCCACCATGACTTTCCTAACAGTCTCTGCAATGGCACCTCTCTCCAGCTCCTCCAACCCCACCCCCACCTTCCATTCCTGAACCAAAAACCTAGCGTTCACCAACTGGTCGGCAAAATGCGGCCGGCAGATCATCGGCACGCCTTCGCCCAGACTCTCCAGCGTCGAGTTCCACCCGCAATGACTCCAGAACCCGCCCACCGACCCATGCGCCAAAACCTCCTTCTGCGCCGCCCATTTCACTATCCGCCCTCTATCTCCCACCCGCGCCTCGAACCCCTGCGGCAGCCGCTCTTTCCAGTCCGACCCCTGGACCGATCCCGGCCGGACCACCCACAAGAACGGCCGCCCGCTCCCGGCCAGTCCCCAAGCAATTTCTGCAAAATCCCTTTCGTTAGTTTCGGCTATGCTTCCGGTTGTGCTCACGTACAGGACTGATCGCGGAGCTTGCTTGTCCAGCCATGGAAAGCAGCTCTCATCTTCTTCTATCAAGCTGGTTTTTCTGGTTGAGGCTATCTTGTGCATGGGGCCGATGGGGAAAATGGGGACTTTGTAACGTTGTTGAAGCTTTGACAGCCATGGATGCTCCAGATCCTCCACTGTGTTCCAGATTATGGCCTCTGAAGATCTTATGTCGTTTGAAGTTAACAAGAATTGTTTTACAGCTTCCCTGGCATCGGGATCCACTATATTAATCGGCATATCGCGATACCTCAGGGGATGAAACTCAGGAATTGGATCCTGCAGCATTGACTCTGTAATCACATAAGCATACATAAACATTTGAGTTGATACCAAACTATTTGGTTTATGGAATAAATTTTGGTTTATGGAATAAATTTTAAAGACAGAAGTTTCAAATAGGTCTATCTATTATTTCGAAGTGCTCAATTCTCACTACGGACTAAAGTAAATGTCAAATAGGCTATCTACCATCTAAATTTGTGCGATTGATTTTTTTTTACAGATGACTAACACATTGTCTATTCAATTATTAAATTTGTTCAACTAAATTTATTTTGGCATGGACAGTCAGTGGCTATATATTTCACAGACAGCCACTGCTTTCAAACATGAGGTCCAGATAGACACAAAAAAAAAAAAAAAAAAAAAACGGCTTGGAACGAATCTTTTCTAGACGGCCATGGCTGTCTGGGGACGACCATGACCGTCATGTCTATGGCCGTTTGAAACGAGGACGGCGGCCATAATTGAATAGGCAACCTGCAAAAAAAGTTAATCCAACACAAGGCACATGGGCCTATTTGACACTTAATTTAGTTTGTGGTGGGAATTGAACATTTCGCAGTAGTAGATGGATCTAATTGACACTTTTATTCAATTTGATTGTTTGGTTCGGTTAAAGAATAGATATCATGGATACTACATTGACTCTTTGTGCTTCAGTAGACTGAAAAAGTAGATATGAACACATACTACATTATAACAGAGTCACTAGACTCAATAACAAGACTATGAGGTATATATTAATATATGTACCTTTAAGGGGGAAAATAGTGTCTGCATTTTCAAGGCTATGGAGTAAAATTTGCAGGTAAACAGCGTTGAAAGGGCGCAAAACGATGGTGGGGAGGTGAAGATGAGAAGCCACAGGATCAACAAAGAGCATCAAGTTGTCATAGATGATACAAACAAGCTGATCACCCTTCTCTTCCACCTGTTTCACCAAAAAGTCCTGGAAGGGCACCCTGCAATTCTCATTCATAGCTTTCATAGTATCCAGTTTTTTGGTGAGCTCATTTTTCTTCCCATCCATTCCATCAGCCAAACTGTGGAAGGCGAATTTGGGGTGATCCGAAGGCCTGGGCGCTTGAAATTCAGTGTGTGCAACCACGATGGAGAATCCCCTCGAGTGTAGGATGTGCCCCAATTGCAGCATTGGTGTCATGTGCCCTTGAAACGGGTATGGCACCAGAATAACATAGCTCCGAGGCCTCTGAGCTCCCTTCTCCATTTCCATCTTCACCTCTGATTGTTACTTTGGAAATTGCTTTATAAGCAATGCTGGAAAACAAGAAGTTATTTGTGGAGCAGTGGAGTGACCTTGAATGCTCAGAAGACACTGGCAGACAACCTTGATGTGATTCTGGTTTTTGTTTTTCCTAGTTGGTCTGTCAGTGTGGAAAACAATGCACTTTGACTCATTCAAGATAATGATTGATTTCTTGTTGCACACTTGCACAGCTAACAACAACTGTATTGTGAAACCACAAGGTTACAAATTCGACTCCAAATAGAAATACAACTTATTGGTCTTCCGTTATTTGAGCTGGTCAATTTTGAACAACTTAAGCTACTTTACTTTATTTAGCAAGTAATTTACTTTCTTGTAGTAGTTTGCCCGGTATACGAGACAGGATTTAATTTACCCGGCATACACCATTGAATATTTATTGCAGTTTTCCTTGACACTCAAAACAGTAGTGTGAAACCATGACTTTTGGGGTTGTCCTTTACCAACAATTACAGTGTGACATTAATTTCATTGAAAACTACAAAAAATTCTATGAAAACAACACACAATCATGAATCACTATCAGAAATATCTTGATAGTAATGTTGTAGTAAACTGTGATTATTGAAACATGTAAATGATCTGAAAAGCATAGATTGAAATCAGTTCATAACAAATTCGATTAAAGCTGATAGAAAACAAGACTCATGGTAATGAAGAAATGAACTCTACTAGTTCATCCAAGGCTTGATATGAAGACCCACCTTTCTCCATACAAGACTCAATTAGCTTGAGCTTCAAATCAACAACTCTCTTCCTCACTTCCCTGCCTTCATCCCCGGCCATGAGTTTTCGAATCGTCGTCTCGATAACGCCTCTCTCGGCTCTCTCCAATTCCATTCCCACCTTCCATACCTGCGTTAGGTACCTTGCGTTCACCGGTTGGTCGGAAAGAACCGGCGAGCAGATCATAGGAACCCCTTCGAATATACTCTCCAGAGTCGAGTTCCACCCGCAGTGACTCATGAACCCACCCACGGCCGGGTGTGATAGTACACTCCTCTGCGGGGCCCATTTCACGATCCTCCCTCTGTCTCCGACCACTCTCTCGAAATCCTCCGGCAGCTGGTCGGAGCCGCCGTCGACGGATCCAGGCCGGACCACCCACAGGAACGGCTGATCACTATTAGCCAAGCCCCAAGCCGTTTCAACCAGATCTTTTTCGCTCATTTTCACGAAGCTCCCAATGCTTACATAGAGAACTGAGGCTGGGGTTTGCCTGTCCAGCCATTCCAGGCAGGTTTTGTCTTCTTCTAGCAAACTGGTGGAGGAATCAGAAGCCCGCTTGTGGAAAGGTCCGATGGGGAAGAACGGAACTTTGTAGCGCTGTTGAAGCTTTGACAGCGCTGAATGCTCCAGTTCATCCACGCTGTTCCAAATGCACGCCACTGAAGATCTTATGTCATTTGTTCTCACCGAGAAATCGACTACCGGTTCAATAACATGGTTGTTGATCGTTGGAAATGGCAGATCCTTGAACCTCAGGGGATGAAGATCCGGCAATGGCTCAAGAATACTACTGTCTACAAGATTCCATGAAAACACAATTTTTTTTTTAAAGAATAATAAATTAACTACTCATTTGAGTGACAAGAAAAATAATAGTCACTACTCGAAGATATACACAGTTTAAAATTTAAATTTCCTCCTAGTGACTTTAGGTGGTAAAAATTCACAAGGAGCTTGGTATCTATATAGGTGTGTATTAGGTAACTTTGAGCCAATAAAAAATAACATCAAGATAAATCAGGTTAGGTTATCCAAATTTGACCGAGGATTGTGTTGGTAGATAATTATAAGAAGGTAAACTAGCCTAATTTACTTTAGGTGTGTACTAAAATCCATCCGAATCTTATGAACCTAGTCGATAAAGAACTAAATAGTCTAGGTTATACTGAGCAAACCCAATCTTATGACTGTTCGGTTAAATATTATAATCAGCTACCCCTCACACTAAAAGTTAAACTTGCAATATTATTGTGGTTCCCCAATCATCCTGTCTCACCAACTTAACTACAATTTCACAAATGGGATGTTTGGTAAATAGTTGTTAGCTGATTGGATTAATATGTTTGACTAGTTGATAGCATTAGTTTATTGTAGAAAAGTGTTTGGTAAATTAACTGTTAGTTGATTATATGCAAAATGATTTTCTAAAAAAACTGATTGAAAACGCTATTTTGAACAATTTTTTTAATTTTAACATTTTAGAGCAATAATATTTAATATTTAACCAAGTCAACCAGCTAATACTGGTCAAATAAGTCAAAATTGACTAATAAAACTAACTATGTTACCAAACATGACCGAAATGTTATATGTACCTACAACCCGAAGTTTCATACATAGTACATACCTTGGAAGGGAAAGATGGCGTCTGATTGTTGAAGAATGGAAAGGAGAGAATTCAAGTAATTAGCACTGAAAGGGCGCAAGACAATGGTGGGAATCTTTAGATGAGTCGCCACATCGTCCACAAAAAACATGATGTTGTCGTAGATGATGCACGCAATATCCTGCTTTTCTTCTTCTTCCATCAACTGAACCAAATACTCCTCCAGTGAAGCCCTGCAATTCTCATTCATGCCATAAATGGCAGCAAGCAAGCTCTGAAAAGACAATTGGTAGCCGGACAAGCCGTCATATAAACTGTGAAATTCCAACTCGGGATGAGAAGAAGGAGGAGGTGAGTTATATTGAGGATGGGCGACGGTGACGGAGAACCCACGGGAGTGAAGAATGCTCCCTAACTGAAGCATGGGCGTGATGTGCCCCTGGAAGGGATAAGGCACCAGCACCACGCGCCGCCGCTTTCCGCCTCCTCCCTGCAGGTTTTCCATTGCCGACCTCTTTCTTCTGCTAACCCTTTTCTCCGGCGTTGATGGATGGGCGTAAAATTTCTTGGTTGAACAAGTTTATATGCAGTCCAACGTGGGCGTAACGGTTAATGTATATTGAATGTTTTTCTGTGTTGTTTATTGAATTGCTGATTCCCCCCGACAGTTGGAGTTTTTCTATATGTTGTTTATTTAGTTACTGATTCCTGCCTTAGTTTGAAGTTCCATTTTCTTCTCCCAAAAGATTGAAGTTTCAATTCTAATGAATATAAAAGAATGTAAATCAGAGTAACTTAGTGTCTTAGTAAATATGATCAAATGATATCTGTTCACTTTAGACATAATCCTCACTTGTTTAATTCTAAAAAAGGTAATTTTTTTAACTCCTAAGACTCCACACTCGGGCCTTGGAACAATATTAGATGAAAGATTAGTGTCGAGTGTACACAAGGAGTCCATTAGAGTAGAATTCTATGCAAGAATTGTGAAGTCCAACCTTGTGTCTTTACCCACAATCTGACTAGATTTTCATTTTCTATAATGGCATGTTTGGTTCATGGAATAGGTCAGGAATGGAATAACATTCCTTGGAATAGACCTATTCCATCGTTTGGTTGGATCATTTTGCCATGGGAATAGCATGCCTAGGAATGAGCTATTACCTTTGCAAGGGGAATAGCCATTCCTAGGGGGGGCCTTGGTATTAGCTATTCCCATGCCCTTGGGAATAGCTTTTATGTCATAAATACCAAAAATACCCTTTGACATTATATAATATTTATATTTATTTAATAAATATAATGTATTATATAAATGTATATATTTAATTAATTATAACTTTTATCCATCAATCTATCAATATATATATATATATATATATATATATACACACACACACACACACACACATTTTGTATATATACAAACACATTTTGCAGCGTTTGCAATTGGCATTTTGAAAAAAGAAAAGTATTTTCTCAAAACACCCTCGACAGTTTATTTTATATATATATATGTAAATAAAAAAAATTAACTGTATAAGATTCCTTAATTATGGAGCCTTGGCTACTAAATTAAATAGCCTGCCCATCTGCATGCCTAACGGATGGGCATTGCAAACTTGCCTAGCGGATGAGCATTGCAATTGAAATTATGGAGCCTTAAGGCTCCTTTTATAGAAGCATCAAGGCTCCATTCCTTACTTCTCCAACCGATGTGGAATAAGTGAAAAAATAAATATAAATATGATTATGTATTTGTATAATAATAATAATAATAATAATAATAATAATAATAATAATAATAATAATAATAATAATAATAATAATTATTATTATTATTATTATTATTATTATTATTATTATTATTATTATTATTATTATTATTATTATTATTATTATTACTCTCTCTCACACAAACATATATATATATATATATATATATATATATATATATATATATATATATATATATATATATATATATAACATTCAGTATATCATAATCATATTCATTATTATTGTTATTATTATTATTATTATTATTATTATTATTATTATTATTATTATTTTATATAAGGGTGTTTATGTCTTTAAAACCTATTCCATTTCTATTCCTTTAACCAACCAAACACTGGAATACAATTACTAAAGTCTATTCCTTCAGCCAATCAAACAACAGAATACAATTCATATTCTATTCCTTACCTATTCCATTCCCTGTGGAATAACATTCCTATTACCTCCAAATTCATTCCGTGAACCAAACGTGCTGTAAGGGCATCCCCAATAGGGGTTCTTTCCCTAATTTTGGAACAATAAAATCTCCATGTTTAATTTTTTAACTAATGGGAAGTAAAAAAACACACCACATTTTTCTCCTGCAAAAAAAAAAAAAAAAAATTTGTCAGAATTTTTTTTAAAAAAAAAAAAAGAAGAAAAGAAGGGTGAGACGCGCAGGTGCGTCTCACTCTTCAGCCTGGTTACACGCGCCCGCCAAGGCGTTTCAGAGTGGCCGCCACTCTGAAATTATTTTTTTTGTTATAATTTTTATTATTAATAATATGATTTTTGCTATAATTATGATTTTTACATATGATTTTTGCAATTAATAATTATGATTTTATTTGCTATAAATAACACATCTTTCACAATTTTTAACACTTTTTATTTACAATTTTTACGGATGCTAATTTACATATTATTTTTACGTATCATTTATGTTTATCTCTAAAATTATAAATTTATAAATAAAATAAATAAAGAAATAAATAAAGAAATAATTAAAGTATGGAGATAAAATGGTGGGTCCACAAAAAGTTGTTAAAAACTTAAAACTAAGAGCATGCTTATCAGTTGGGGATATTAAGGGGAGAATGCAAGAGTGAGTAGGAAAGAGAATAATGTGGGAGGGGAGGAAAAAAAATCAAAACTGATTTTAAAAATATATAGGGTGAAGTGCCAAATAGCACCGTGAACTAATTGCGATATGTCATGCCGCATCCTGAACTTACATAAGTGATTATTCAATTCATAAACCGAAAATTTTTGTCCGCCTAGCCCTTTTAGCAGGTTTCCCTGTTGCCTTGATGACATGGCACAGGTAATGTGCTGATGTGGATTTTTTTTTTTTTTTTTTTTGGTTTTAAGTCAATCTTTGGCTCTTTGCTTGGTCAAATTAGTTTTATAGCCTTTGTTTGAGTTCTTCATGTCAATCAATCCTATACTCTTGCTAAGTCTACAGACTCTTAATCTGGTCCCGGGATACTGAACTTCAATCCCATTAGTTACATTTGCTATTTGATTTCTTTACAGTAATAATATTCCTTTTATTTTGCTTCAAAAAACAGGGTCCTGGTGTAAAACATTTGATATGAATTGGCTTCAGCCTTCACGAACAAGAACTCCATCTTTTCTTAATGGGCATACCACAAAACCTCAGAGAGCACCTCATCAAACTTAATTGTCTTCTTGCTGATTTCACTCGTTGCCGCCAATTCTACAGTGCTCTCCACCTCTTTCACCACATCCACTCCTCCCACCTTCTCAGACAAGACCACTATACCCTTTCCACCGTCCTCACTGCCTGCGCCAACATCCAACACACCGGAATCTTGAGCTTTTCTACGTACAGAGACTGGGTAATGAAAACAATGATCATCGTAAAAAAAACCCACTACCATTCTTGCAAAATCCACTACCATTCTTGCTCCAGTAAGTCAGTAACTTGATTTGGCATGAAAAGAAACACCAACCCAATTCAAACATCAATCTCAATATAAAACTAACAGCAGATGCAAATATGAAAACTAACGGCATTCTGATTACTTTGAATCATCACCCTATATTTCACTGATTCAGAATCCTCAGACAACTTATGGCTGATCGGTAGTAGCTTTACAACATAGAACCAAAAACCTCAGCTAAATGTAGATCTCCAAATTCTGGGTTTTTAAGAAACTGAAATCAGCACACCAATTGGCTGAGGTTCTGATAGTCGATAACAAACTGAGGACGGCGATTACTATTCTGAGGTCGCGAGAGGGGTTCGCCATCGTCCTGAGCATCGTCGCCATCCTCCGATCGTCGGGGCACCGCCGGCTGCGCAACAGAGTCCACAAATTCTGGACCACTCCGATCAACAATCCGAGCAGCGGAGGTTGATCTAGACACATCCCTAACCCCATCTATGGCTTCCGATCGTCCATGCATGGACTCAACACCGGAAAAACCTCCCGCGACGAAGACCAGTTCGCTACTTGCGACTTCGCTGATGATTGTCAATCGCCAAACTGATGGTGGCAATCACGTCGCTGGGAGTGGGAAACTGCTCTGCTCTGGAGGGTCGCGAAAGATCATCACTGGCCTGGAGCCTCTTGATTGCCGACTTCAAGAGAATATCGCCGTTGTGGCGAAGATCGGCCAGAATATTACGGAGGAGTATAACAGGAGGTTAGTTTATATTTAATATAAATAAATGGTGACCTGCCAACTAAATACCTCCACATCAGCAAAAAAAAAATAAAAATACCTCCACATCATCAAGTTATAACCTGTTACTTGGAGACAACCTGCTAAAAGGGCTAGACGGACAAGATTTTTCGGTTTATGAATTGAATAATCACTTATGTAAGTTCAGGGTGCGGCATGACATATTGCAATTGGTTCATGGTGCTATTTGGCACTTCACCCAAATATATATTAAAAAAAAATAAGCATGTCATTTTTCTATTGGGTCTCTCTTCCACCATTAATTCTTTTTTCTTGGGCAGAGAAGTATCCCAATCTTTGCAGATGCTCCACACCCTTTCTCTCTCTTGGTTCTCTCTCTGCCACCATGGCATTTTGACCTCAAAAGTAGTGAATTCTCCCCAATTTCTCCTCTGATGTAGATGCTCTAATGGGAAGAAGAGATTTTGTGATTGAGTGAGATAGTGGATGATGAGGTGGATGTTGGGGCCCACAAAAATTAGGGGTAAAATCCCTAACTATTGAGGATGCCCTAAGCGGCATTGAGAATCACCAATCATTATTAAATGGACCATGGTACACACAATTATGTAGACCATAAATAAAAAGTACATTATTTGTGTATGTAAAGTACATTATTTTATATTCCGTATATACTATCAAATAATATATCTTTACAAAAATATTATATTTTTAATATATTAAAAATGTACCTGATATTTATGATTCATAGATTATGATCCATAGAATAATTACCTGTCAGTTTTCTACGAATTAGGTCGTAATCTGTTCTTATTCATACATCACGATCTACGCCCGCCTGCCGCCGGCCAGCTACATAAGAAATAAACTAAACGACCAACTGGGATTGTTGCCGGATTCTGTGCATAAAAAAAATGTAAAAAAATAACACATTTGTTCTTACATTTCTAGAAACTCTGGGATTTATGATTGTATGAGCATTTCCTCGAACGCCTCAAGCCCGTGGCCTCCGGATAAGCGGATCGATCACGGGTCACAAATGGTGATTTAAACATTTAAAAAAAAAAATTGTTGACATTAAAAAAGGTCAATGGTTGTTCTCAATTAAATCTAGAGGAATCAAGATAACTTCTCTTATCTCATGTGATGGCGACAGCTGGAAGGTTGATGTTTTTTATTATAAATTATTCTGTAGACCCAGATAAAAAATATTAAATTTATATATTGAATGTTCACAATTTTACATACTAAAAGTTCACAATTTATTTACGAAATGTTCATAATTTAAATTGTGA